TATTCGTTTACGTCTTTTTATTGTTGTAAACATTAAAATTGTCTTTCTCAAAGAAAGAGTTATCAGGAGGCAAAAAAAAAAAAAACAACGACATTAATAATAATTAAAAAAAAATAATCAGCGTTTCTAACTGTCATACACCATAGAAAAAAAAAGGCAGTGACTTGCATCATGTGCCATACTGGGAATATACAAAGAAAAATACTACAGGATATGGCAATATTAAAAATATTACTCGAACGTAAAGTAATATATTAACCGACAATTTTAGACATTAAAAAAAAAAAAAAAAAAAAACACAACAAAAAACGTAACGAAACAAACCAAAAATTCAAAGTGCTCAGTAATTTCCAGGGAGTTATGTATATTATAAGCACTCTGGAAACAGTCAAAAGCTGCTGCATGCAAGATTTGTTTAGCTTTAGACAACAAAATAATCAAGATATAAACTCCTTTTTTAATCAACATCAACAGTACATACAACACTTACAAACAAGGAATGTCGGACGGTGTTTACAAACACTATGTGTCCCTTTGGGGAGGATTTCGGGTTGTGTAATACTTGTGCCCACCTATTTTACAATTGAGAAAATGTTTGAAGCTTAGATAACTACCAGTCTTTATAAAAGCTAACAGACTACATAGTGTCTGAAATACTATTTATAGAATATAGACATTACTGAAATAGCAAGTGCCTATAACATCATCACCCTAGAATCGTCATGCTTTCCTGGTACGGACAGAATTCTTTTTCTTTCTCTTTATTCTCCTTTTATTTCCCCTCTTTTTTTTTTTTTTTTTTTTTTTTGCTAAACGTTTAGCTTTTATTTTTAATTTATCTTTTTTCTAGAATCGTTCTCCATATTTCTTCATAAATAGGCACGGAATAATTTTTAAAAAGCCAAACCGCATCTGACAAATTTACAAGCCTTCGCCTTCTTTAATGACATGCCACCCACGCAACATTTAGGTTTCGTATATATTACAGCTTTCTTTTACAGCAGAAAACTTTAGTCTTTAGGAGGGTGAGACTTGTGGGTCACCTTAACGCTTCGTCTGTCACCGTATGAGTCTTAGCTGCGCACCTGGCGTTGCCAGATGTGTCCATCTTTTTAATCAGAAGTCCTTAATAACAAATTCATTTATAAGCTGATAATAAAAAGTTTATACCATGGTATTTGTGTAGTCCATGATCTGCATCCATGATGCCCCAGAGCCAAAATGCCCATTGACGTTCTGCCTGTAGGAGGTTGGCAACACTGGTTTGGGTGGGGAGCTGGCACCCAGGGGTGCTGCTCTGGGCCCAGGCGAATTCCCCGTCAGACAGGCGAAGTTTCTCTTCGGTTCAGTGGAAGTGCACGGGAAGCGTCTTAAAAAGGTAAAGTGTCCAGAAAAAGTTTGTCGATTATTGCTGGTGGTGGCACCAAATCTTCCAGTTTCAGGTAGAAAATGCGCTGCAGCCCCTGCGTGCAAAGCGTGCGGAGTTCGGGGAGCTTCCCCAAGAGTTTGGACAAATAGTTGGGGCGATTCAGCCCCCCGTTATTAAAAGTCACATGGTCTTTGAGACAATTTACAATCTTGTTCTGAAGTTCTTCCACCCTCTTGGGTTCCTTAAGCCCGTGCCTCTCTGCGAAAGAGAAGGGCACGGGACGTTAGAGGTGCGGGACGGAGCAGGAGGCAGGCGGAAGGGGAGAGGGGCTGCCCGGCGGGGCCGAGCGGGAAGGAGGGCACACTCACCTGTGACCATAGCCAGGGCAGCGATGCAAGAGAAGGCAGAGATATCGATGTTCATGTTTTGCAAGTTGGAGGAAAATTCAACAATGGAATCGATCCACTCCCCAAAGCCACGGACGCACTGCAACCGGTGCAGGACCACCCCGTTGCAGAAGATAAGCTTGCCCTCCACTGGGTTTGACCTGGAAGGAATATGACAACCCCAAAAATGAACGGATGAATGAAGGAGAAAGAAAGAGAAAAAATCAGGTGGGAAGAGAGAAAGAAAGAAAAGGAGAGAAAGAGAAGGGGGGAAAAAAGGACAAAAGATGAAAAAAAGAGAAAGCGGGGAGAAAGGAGGAAAAGAAAAAGACAGAGAAGGAGAGAAAGAAAGAAAAATTAAGTCGAGAAGAAAGAGAGAAAGAGGAAAAAGAGAGAAAGACAAAAAAGAAAAAGAAAGGGAAAGGAAGATTAAAAAAGAGAAGATGGGGGGAGAAAAGCTAAACAACTAATTACTTGAGGAGCAATAAATGAAGGATTTAAGAGGCACCTAATTACCGAGGAGTTAATAAAACGCAGATCAGTGGACCTTGAAAGGATCTGGTTTCATAATCGCCCAGAAGTTCCCCCCTCGGATCCGGGCCGCTTACCTGTACACAGCACAAAGAGCTCCAGGAAGGCGGATTCAAAGAGCAGGTCCTGGTCGGTTTTAGGGAGATCGGTGAAGCCGGGAATTTTTTCTGCCCATCCTCGGATGATCTCCATGGAGCCGGTCAAGAGATCATAGAACTGCTGGATGTGCTGAGTGTCGTCTCCGCTCATCTGGTAGTCGGGGTTAGCCTGGAACTGGAAATTCATTTTAAAAAGCACTTAATGAGGTTCTCTAAAGTATATAACCCGTGAAATTGCTACCCCGCTTCTAGTCGGGGAGCCAGGTTTTCATAACAATTAAACCTCTCTCTGACCAGTGAGGAAATTAGATGTTCCGGGGCAATTAATTCAATCAGGGACGGCGCTACCAGGTCGCCGCTCTCCGTGCGCGGAGG